TTTGGCTATGATTGAAGAGTAGCTGTAGTGTTGAAGAGATTTTTTTGGACTCAGGAATGGTGGTACCAGCAAACAGACACAATTTGGGAAGCTCTTTTGTCTTTAGAAGTGAGAAAAGGTGTTATTTTCTGCCTCAGTAATTTCAGCTACTGGTGGCATTGCATGTAAGCAGCAAGTTTGAAGATGTGACTGAGAACCTTGAGTGAATTTTGGGTAACCCAGTTCTCATCCTTCTTTCTCTTCCCCATAGGTTTGCCAGGTGTCTGGTATTGACCCGGACAGTCCGGTATTTTCGCCTCCTGTCCGGTGTAAAAAAAAAAAACCCTGAAAATACCGGACACCTAAAATGTCCGGTATTTTCTGGCTCCCCCCTCCCCTGCCAGGCAAAAATACTAGACACCAGGAAACCCTATGACATACTCAACAACGAGGCTCAGGCCCCTCTCTCCCCCCAGATGCTCCCCTATCCCTCCGCTTACCTGTTTCCACGGGCTGTAACAGAAAAACAAAATGGCCGCCAGCAAAAAAAAAGCCGCCTCTTAAAGGGGCCATGCTGATTTTTTTTCCCCTCCCTCAACAACTTTGGTCTCCCCTTTTTTTTTCCTTAACAGAAGATTTTCCCCTTTTTTTTGGAGGGGGAGTGTTCGGTATTTTTTGTTAAACCATCTGGCAACCCTACTTCCCCAGTCTTGTAGGATTCTTTGTTCTAATATTTATAGGTATGATAGGCCATTTCCTCATGCAGTTAAGTCCTAAAGATCAGTGAAAGGGGTCCTTCTGGGTTTTTTTTTAATCCCTCTATTGAAAAAATAGTAGTAGAAAAGGACATGTTGGAAACAGAAGTCACTCTGAGAGAAAAGTGTCAGAAAGAAAGAAGTTTCAAAAGTGAAGGCCTACCCCTATTCTGAGCTTCTTATATTGAACAGATACTGAAGGAAAGTAAAATTGCCTGTTTCCTCTAGGGAGCAAATCCTTGCTTTAGAACTTCCAGACTGATTTGTATCCTTGATATTTAATATGATTGCTTCTACATATAGATAAGACCCATGAGAAGTACCTGATGAGAGGTGTGCCAGTCACAACTAATATGAAGTATTGCCCTCATGTTTTCATCAAGTGCTTGATGGTATCTGCAACTTATGTGATTCATCAAAGTCTTCCTCAGGGCACAACTGGCTCATAAGAGCCTCGTTTTACAAAGCAATAGTTCATGTCAAGTGGTAGACTTGCTTCTCTATCCAAAAATTATTCATTCACCCACTCTGTGTTGATGTATCTTGTGCTTACACAGCAACAAAGTGATACAAAAATCCATCAAGGCCTTTACTTGGCATCATGACTGCTAGGTTTTAGCACAGGATGTTTTGTCCATGTCTGAAGAGATCAAGCGATTGGGAGTCTGGAAAACATTTCACTAAGAAGTCTAAATTGTCGAATGGAACAGGTTTTAAAAGTTTGTTCAAATGTCAAAGCCTTGCCACAGTTTCCTGTGTTTCCAGTTATTTTTCCTGACACTTGTGTGTCATAAGTGTCTCTGGTAGTCTTAATCCAATCAAATTGTGTAGTTGATATTTCTGTGCCTTCAGTGTCTCTGAGCTAACTGACCTAGTGGGATGGCAGCTTCAGTGGGAATGTATTACAGTGTGCCCTTATCTGAAATGTGTGTGGCAGCTATATGGAATTCAGTTCTTCCATTCACAAATGGCTTTTCTTTCCACATGGTATCAAGAATACACAGTAGTATCAGCAGGGTAGTGCTTTAGTTATTGTTAAACTAGCAGAATTCCTCGGCCTGCTTTTTAGGGAGTTCATTATTAGCTAACCACCTGTCATTGGGCTCTGAAAGTAATGTCATGAAGAGAAAAAAATAATTTATTTCCAGCAGTAACTTGCTTTCAAAACATGTTGCCTCTACACAACCACACTTGACCTTCCCTTGTGCACCTTACTTTGGAACCATGCTTTATATATGGTATATGGAGTTAAGAAATTGAGGGATTGTTAGACAGGACAGGATGTTTATATAACTGATCTATAAAATACTGGGTTTGAGGGAATCGTAAAACCTTCCAAATGAATCTAAACCCAATGGCGTCTGATTACGTGTGTCAGGTTCAGGCTGAGTATAAAAACAACTTGATCTTTAAAAAAAAAAGTTAAAAAACAATGAGTGACCCTGTAGTACCTTAGGGTATGTCTACACTACAAAGTTAATTCGAACTAACGGACGTTAGTTCGAATTAACTTTGATAGGCGCTACACTAGTGCTCCGCTAGTTCGAACTTAATTCGAACTAGCGGAGCGCTTAGTTCGAACTAGGTAAACCTCATTGTACGAGGACTAAGCCTAGTTCGAACTTACTAGTTCGAATTAAGGGGTGTGTAGCCCCTTAATTCGAACTAGTGAGAGCGTGCTCCGCTAGTTCGAACTTAATTCGAACTAGCGGAGCGCTTAGTTCGAACTAGGTAAACCTCATTGTACGAGGACTAAGCCTAGTTCGAACTTACTAGTTCGAATTAAGGGGTGTGTAGCCCCTTAATTCGAATTAGTGAGAGGCTAGCCCTCCCCAGCTTTCCCTGGTGGCCACTCTGGCCAACACCAGGGAAACTCTACTGC